GGCCAAGCGGCACAGGGGCGTCCAGAAGGCGCCGCGGAGCCGGCGCCGCTCCGAGCGCTGCGGGAAGAGCGGGATGAGCGGCGTTCCCGCATCCCACCGCGTCCGTCCCGGGGCATCCCGGGACATCCCGCCGCGTCCGTCCCGGGGCATCCCGGGACATCCCGCCGCATCCATCCCGGGGCATCCCGGGGCATCCTGCCGCATCCATCCCGGGACAATCCCGCCGCATCCATCCCGGGGCATCCCACCGCATCCCGCCACATCCATCCCGGGGCATCCCACCGCATCCCGCCACATCCATCCCGGGGAATTCCAGGACATCCCGCCGCATCCATCCCGGGGCATCCCGCCGCATCCGTCCCGGGGCATCCCGGGACAATCCCGCCGCCTCCATCCCGGGACAATCCCGCCGCCTCCATCCCGGGACATCCCGCCGCATCCCACCGCATCCATCCCGGGACATCCCCGGCGCTCACCTGCTGCTCGTGCGCCCGCTGGAAAGCGTCGCCCAAGGCGCGCAGCCGGGCGCCCAATTCCCGCTCGGTGCTCCGCGCGGTGCCGGTGGCCTCCGCGCTCACGGCCTCCTCTTCCCCGTTTTCCCCAGGCTGGGAGTCCCCTGTGGAGCGAGCGGAGGGATCAGGGGAGGGGAAAGGCCGGGACGATTCCCGGCTCCGGCCCCGCGGTGGCAGCCGGAGCGCCGGGAGGAGGGGYTGTGTCCCGGCTTGCCGCACGCGGCAGTGTTTATCCCGGAAAAGGGCGGATGGAGCGCGGAGGCAGGAAGCACCTGCGCAGGGACGGGGATAACGGCGAGCGCGGGAGCGGGGCTGGGAGCAGGGATAACCCTGCGGATGGGGACACGGCTGGGAACAGGGATACGGGGATGGGCGCAAGGATCACGGATGACCACGGGAATGGGGATGGAGACAAGAGCGGGAATGAACACGGGCACAAGGATGTAAACAGGCGCAAAACCAAGGAGGAGCACAGGGATTGGGATGGGGACGAAAACAAGGATAACGGCAGGCATGGGAACAGGGATAGGGATGGGGACGAAAACAAGGATAACGGCGGGGATGGGCACAGGGATAGGGACGAAAACAAGGATAACGGCGGGGATGGGCACAGGGATAGGGATGAAAACAAGGATAACCATGGG